CTGTGAAAATGTTCTCACAAGAAGCTTTCTGTGTTGCTCTTGGTGCCAACCAGACCAGGGTACCTGGCCCAGAATACAGGAATTTTGTTGTATATCAGACATATGACATCATCTAAACACTGAACATTTTCCTCCTGTATGTCAACAATATTTCTGCTGTTTAAACATTCAGTTAAAGAGGTTAAATATGATTAGAACATGACAAGCTTGAAGAATATTATAAACCTTGAATGAGTCATATACATTTATATTAAGTTATTTCATCTTATTCTCTCTTTCAGAATGATCAATGAAATTATCTTCAGGCACAATCCTATGCACATTTACATAGAAACATAGCTTACAACTTGCCCCTTTCCTCAACCTGCTAAACCTTCATAGAATTGTACCCTCAATTACTTTATCTCTGAGTTTGTTTCAATGCAAGCCCTCTTAGATATTCTAGAGATTCACATTCTGATGTGTTATGCTTGAAATTCCCAACCTAACAAGCAAAATGCATGTGAAAATTGGCTTAACTGGATAGCTGTGGTGTTTCTAAGTGCATGTAATGATTCTTTTTGTTTACCACAATGGGTCTGGCTTCTATTTTCAACTCTTTATTTTATTCCACTCCCCAGCCTACATTTTATGAACTGGCAAATGTATTGATACACAGTTAGGCTGCTCAACTCTCTTTGAATGTAATGGGACATAAGCAACCTAAGTGTAATCAAGCTGAAAATGCTAGGGTGTAGTAGCTCCATCTTGGTTCCATCCTGTGTTAAAGGAACTTTCTCATAGTCCATGTGCAGAGTTTGGATTGGATCCAAACTGCACATGGACTATGTAAGAAAAGTATTTGATATGATTAACAACCTGTTTTGTGTTCTTAAAATGTTTTGGTGTGAGTAATGTTGACACCACATTTTCTTAGGGAGCCTTTCTCTTGGGGAAAAATCGGGGGAATATCTGCTTGCTTGTTTTGCTTGTGGCTTCACAATTTCCCCAAATGATACCTCACTTGTGCAAAGCTGACTGAGGGATTATGGTAATTACAGTGCAACACATCTGGAGAGCACAAAGTTGAGGAAAACAAAAGGAAACTCTAACAAAAGTTTGTCCAGGACTGTGAAACAGGTGAGAGTTGTCTTAATAATTTGTGGCCTTCCCCAAGCTGATAGCTGTCTGATATTATGTACCATAAGTGTCACCTCCCTTGACTATTAGCTATTCTGGCAGAGGCTGATGGGAATTGTATTCCAACCACTTGAGAAGATTGGCACAAAGGATCACAGTTTGCGCAGGCCTGCTACAACTAAGGGAAAAAAAAGACTTGTCCGCTGAGCCACCTTCTATATATTTGTAATGTATAAGAAGTATAATCTAAATCCTGCATGTGAGAGCTGATGGCAATTAAAAATGAATATGCAGTAATCAGACTGCTTGATAAGAAGGTTCCTTTTCCATTGTTCAGCTGAGCAGATATTTTCTTAGCTCCCAGTCTCTATGATATTTTCATCAAAGGTTTTCTCCTTTTACCCTCCCTATTGTAGTGATTTTTCTGTTGGTTTAACTTTTTTGTCAGTGAGTTTTGATGCATACTGCTGCTATCAGATGTTATCATTGTGCTTATATCCCTACAACTTGATTAGATTTTCCTTTTGCTGTGATTCTCTTTGTTCTCTGTGTGCCTATATTTCCTCTTCTTACCAAGCTTCCATTAATCCTACACAGTAAGAAAGCCATGAGAAAAGTTCCAAATATTCAGATTTTATCTTTAAACCTGTTGGTTCAAATAGTAGTTAATTAAAAAACACCATTTTTATGTATTAAGAGAGAGAGAGAAAGCTTAAAGTTGACATGTACCCAACCAGTGGCAGCTCATTGCTTTGTGGTTAGCACACCCTTCTCTTGCCCAGAAGGCTCAGAACCTCTTACAAGTTTGTGCACAATAATCATAGTCTCCAGTTGCTTTAAATTGCTGTTACTGTCCATCTGTGTCTCTGTTCTATTAGTAGTTGTTCCAGATAGGAAAGTTGTGCCTCTTTTGCTTCCTGGGTTGATAGCACACACTCAGTTTCCCAAATTCTAATGTGTGTGTACTGCGGCAGGAATGACTGCAGAGGGCATGCAGGACATCCAAGAGGACCAACTCTACCAGATGTCCATATTTGGTCCTGATGGATTCTCTAGTATAAGTCAGAACCCTGCTATTTGTGTCTAAAGAGGGCATCTGCTGAACACAGTCACAGCCCATTAGGATGCTTCTGTTGCATCTTGCTTTGTTAGTTGCTCTTAAGAGTGTCTGCATGCACATGCAGGGATTGGTGTAGCACTGGCAGTCTGGGAACCCTTTCTGTATTTTCACCTTGTTTTTAATCTGGAAGCCTGGGGACATGTGAGCAATCCTTGGAACAACCAAACTCTAATTTTCCCCCATCTTCTACTATTTTCTTTACCTCTCCCCCTATTTTTCAGATGGGTTCCTATTGCCTGAAATGGTATGCCAGCTTCCTCACCTGGTATCCTTCAGAGGTGTTGGACACAGCTTCCGGCGTCCCTGAACATTGGTCATGCTGGCTGATGAGTACTGCAGTGCAACACATCTGGAGGGTACCAGGTTGTAAAATGCTGTAATATGGTCCCCCTAAACTGTCCTTGTAATGGATAGACACAACAGGGTAGCCTGTACCTTTGGGCTGAAGGTGGGTCTTCAACCCCTGTGCCGCTGATGGGTTCCAGTCTGTGGCCTGTTAGGAACCGTGCCGCACAGCAGGAGGTGAGTGGCAGGTGAATGAGCAAAGCCTCATCTGCACCTGGACCCACTCCCCAGCACCAGCACCACCGCCTCAGCCCCTCCCCAGACCACCAGGCACCAGATGCCCATAAGGAACCTGCAACCCAGATCCCTTGCATGCACAGTTCACGGTAGGGTTCGCACTCTGAGCACCCATCTAAGTGCACCCTGGAACCTGTGTCCCCACTCAGGCAGGGGCTAAGCCAGTAAGTTGGGATCCTTTTCCTTGGCTCTTGAGCCGGCTATAGCCAAAGTTTGGCACTTGGCCGGCTATAGCCAAACTTTCCCCCAACTTGTCCCCGTTGACTCGGAATGCTCCTGAGCCTCCAGGGAGGGGATGGCAATGTAGCCAAGGCTGCTGGACCCCTCCTATTTTGATTAAGCCCTTCCCAGCCATGGGGGTGGGGGGCGGAGAGCGAGAGCGAGAGCGAGAGAGAGAGAGAGAGAGAGAAAGATAGAGAGAGAGAGAGAGAGGAGGAACACGGAGGAGAAAACTTGCAAACTCCAACAGCACCCGGTTCCCTCCATCGCCTCCTGGTGTCTGGTGCCTGGAGGTGCAGTGAGGGAGGCCAGCTCTGGGGCCTCTGGAAGGCAACAGCCCCGTACTCATTCACTCACTCACCCCCACGTGGACTTTCCTAGTGGTGCAAACTGTACCGCAAACTGCATACATGAGGGATCTAGGCTGCGTGCTCCCCACAAAAGTCAAATGCCCAACGATCCGAGCTCGAGCCGAGGCAGCAATGCCAGCACTGGGGAGCAACTGCAAACACAGATGAAGCCCTGCTCGCTCACTGCCCGCAGCCCACTTCCCACTGTACAGCCCGGCCCCTAACAGCTCCCACTGATCCTGCATTATGGTGAGTTGTATAATTATTAAAGTCACTCATATTTGTTTTGTACTGACAGGATGGGAACACTGTGCATATGTGATTGCTGCATCCTAGAAGTTGGTGCTAAGCATGCACTGGGTGGCATTCTATGCTCAGTGGAGTACCATGTAGCACATACCTTGAGAATGGTATGAAGTGCAAGATTTGGCAGCTGTAATTCTGATGGGATTAACTGGAGGAAGCCATGTCATACCAATTCTTAAGAAATTATATTGGCACCCTTTTTGCCACCAAGCCTGATTCAAGGCACTGGTTATCCTCATTAAAGTTTAAACAGCTTGGGACTAAAGTCTTGAAAGGGCACTTCCCCCTATAATGTCCTGCTTTTACATTAAGGTCTCCAGAGACGTCCCTGCTCTGTACCATCAGTGGAAGAAATGAAACATGCACTTAGAAAAGAGTTGGCCTTCTCTATGGTGGTGTCCTGGCTGTGGAGAGTCCTGAATGGCAAATACAATTTGTGCCAACCTTCCTTTCCTTTTGGTGTGAAATTGAACTGTTTCTTTTTCCCAGGCATTTGAAAGGTTGGGTGCCTGTTTACGTCGAAAGAGTTGATAGGTTGCTTACAGGTTGAATAGTTTTTTATGTCTCTTATTTTGTAATTTAATTGTTAACATATGGCATTTGTGCCTATAGCATTCCTTGGATTCCTTGTGGATAAAGGGCAGTCTGTGCATTTAATAATAATAATAATAATAATAATAATAATAATAATAATAATAATTTGCAACATATATTTTCAACAGCTTTATACCATTCATTAATAATGTTATCTGGGATATGTGCAAAAAATTAAAATGGTAGAGTATAAAAATAGAAAATACATAAAAGATTAAAATAGGTCAAACTTGCATTGGCACCAAGGGAGACTTGGGGACAATGTGAAATAAGAAAAAATACAGAAACAGTACTGGATATAACTAGGGGGACTTTGCCAGGAAGTGCTTTATGAAGCGTTGTTATTTCTTGTTTCCTCCACTTGGATTCCTTTCCCCAGAAAACTTTTAAGAACTGTAATACTTCGAATGATTTACAGGAATCCTTATATTCTCAGAACCCCGAAATTGCAATTCCAAGGTTTCTTTGAGAGAAGCCAGCATAAAGCCAATATGAAGTTTGTAGTGTTGATTTTTTCTCTGAGTTTCTTTAAGGAAATTGCAAAGGAACTAAAGGGCTTAATGGGCCATATAGTAAATTTTGTTCATATGCCAATGCTGTAAACCATCCCAAGATTTTTAAGTATGGAATGGTATAGAAAAGTTTTAAATAAATAAAGCATAGACCCTCTTGTAATTTCTGTTGTCCTTCTGTGTTTTTTAATGGTCCAGGGGAAAATCAAGAACAATTACTTTTGAGCAGTTCAAGGAAGCACTTCAGGAACTTTCCAAGAAACGCTTCAAAGATAAGAGCTATGAAGAAGCTGTGCAAGAAATGTACAAGCTAATTGAAGGGAAAGCACCAATCATATCTGGAGTTACGGTATGATAGCCTGACACATTATATCTTACTTACTTAGAAACTTCTAGTTCTCTTTCATGGCAGGAATCCTGGCATTTGGATGCACTCAAGTAGAGACTCACTTTAGTATCCTGTGGTAGGGCAGCTTTTACTAACCCTGAACATTAAAAGAAGTTCCAAATGCAGAACTGCCTCCTATGCATCTTTCTCTAATGAAAAGGTATCAAAAGAGGAGACAAATCTAATTCTGGGGAAGGCCTCAGTGGCTGCATTCCACTGGGGCATGGGGCTGAAAGCAAAAGGACAAATCCAAAGTATCAAAGATTTCAGTTTATTTTGGTATAAAGTTGTTACTGCTAATAACTAAGTTTTAGAAGCAGCATTGCAACATTTCAGTATGTGGGCCAGGGAATCTGGGACCATGCAAAAGTCAGGAAATCACCATACTATTGGAAATCAGTGGAAAAGAATGTAGATAGCAGAAGGGAATATAGCTATCAAGGGAATTCTGAAAAGGGGTTTCGAGGGAGCAATGGTTTTAAAACCTTTTTGACAGGGCAATAGGAGTATTTTGACAGCCATACGTTTCTGTCAGAAAACACACATTGTTCTGTTAAAATGCCTTTTCCCTCCAAAAATGGATAGGATGCATATTTGGACTTTCCCAAGCAGCTAGCATCTCAGGGAAAAGGGAAAAATGTGCTGCAGCCTGAAGACAAGTCAAGACAAAAATGATAAGGATCTTGGCATGAAGGGGCTGTAAATTTTGCTGACCTATTTTTGCCAGCAATGTTGCCTTGCACCTTTCCCTTTACGGTTGGCATTTTGGTAGCTGTTCAGAGAAAGGAAAAGGAAGACAAAGCTTATTTGGAGCTTCCCTGTGGTTTTAACACCATCTTAGAGGCACACCTTAACATGGTGAAAGGGTTTGAGAGTGTCAGAGAAACCAAGAACAATGCCATCAGGATCCCAGACTGTCTTGAGTCAAAGGTGGAATAGTCAGAGCAGGGACATCTACTGTTGTGAGCCAACAGTTTCCTCCTTCAAGCATTCAAAAGTCACAGACCATTTTCCTTGCCAAGCATTCTTTACTGACCCAGAATGAATCTCTGAGCATGCACAGAGCGGTTTGTTGAACCTAATTTAATATTCACCTCCAGGAACTCTCCTTATGAACATGCCTGGACCTCATCCCTTTGGGAAGGGCTTTCTGAGACTGAGCATGCCTCCTTTCTGCATGTCAATTGCCTAAGTGGGCCACCTGTCTCTGCTGACTGCTCATCATGGGGTCCTGTGCCAGGGATGCCTGGTCTGCATCTGAGGAACACTCATTCTCATAATCCTACCTGCTGGGTGTATATCTTGGTTATTCCCAGGAGCCAATTGCCCACATGAGAAGTCTGACCTTGAGATGTATGCCTCCGCTTCCCTCCTCTCAATGTCTCAGCATGGCCCATCCTCCCCAACTCTCCTTTGATCTGCTTCACATTCCAGTTCTGACATTTCTGAAACCCAGCTAGCCGTCCTTGAGAATGAGCACCTGAAGCAGCCATTCTTCTCACTCCCGACATCTACCATCTTCAAGAGTAACAGTTACATCAACAGAAGAGAATAGATATCTCTAATGTTGATGGGGGCAGAGAAATTTCTGAAGCAGGCAGAAGTAGTATTTGATGTAAACATTGGAAGAGGATTCTTCACAGGCAATGGCAGTGAAGCTCAAGCTAAATCTGGTTAGTAACTGTGCAGAAGAAGGCAACGGTAAAGCACTTCTGAGTAGTAACCTTGTGAACCCTATAATGAAACAATCCAAAATGCTATAGGAGATAGTGCCAGAATAAGGCTCTCAGGTCAGAAGCTACTCAGTGAATTACTGGGGGAAAATGAAGGACAAGTACAAATAGTGCTGTTGCTAATGACACAGCTAGATCAAACCTGAAAAGTAGAGAGGCAAAAGGAAAGTCTAATGCTGCACAACACATACAATTGGAACATACAACATAAGAAATATGAATCACAGAAAACTGGAAGAATTTGAATTGTCACGGAATCAATACAATTTTGGAAGGGGGAAATTTTCTGAAATAATTTTTGAATGAGTTCTCAACATGTATCCTATGGTCCCAGTGATGGGGTGCACAATATTTTTAAGATTTTAATTGTATATTTAATGTTATGTTTTTTGTTGTATTTTATCTTGAAAAAAATAAAGTCTTTTTTTAAAAGCAAGGAAAACTGGAAACTGTAAAGCAAGAAATGGAACTGTTAAACTTTGTAGTACTTGATATAACCAAACTGCAGTGGACTGGAATGGGACATTTTCGGTAAGAAAAACATGATGTATTTTACTCTGGAAACAACCAACTCTGAAGAAATGGAGTATCAAGATGGCAAGATGTAGCGCTGGCAGTAAGGGCTATAATACACAGCCCAACTAAATCATATCAGTCATAATTTATGGAAAACCTATTGTCGTGCCTGAAGCCCCGACAGAGACAGCACCTCACGAGGAGGTCTTGTGCTTAGGACCCTGTATCCAAAAGCCAACCCCACAACCTAGCTTGGGGGTGGCTGAGCAGATAGCTGCACCTCCCACTGACTCCCTGCCCATTGAGCAAACACCCGAGCCCACACCAAAGCAAGAGAGCCCTGAGAGAAAAGACACTACTAGTTCTACAAAGAAGGAGTCAGAGCGGGCTGTCCCTCCTCCTACTGACGCTGAACTTTCTGAACATGACACAGGAGACGCAGGGGGCGTAATAGACTTTTCTCTAGCAACCAATTCTGAGAAGGTACGAGCAAAGGCAGACCTTGTTATGCCAGAGGGAAGAGAGGTGTGACCAGGAGGGCTAGTCCCACGTGGGCTCGGGGAGAGACACCATTAGAGGATTAACATCTGCATTCCAAAGAACTCAACAGAAGAGCTTATCTGTAGAGTTGTAAATCTTGTAGACGAGTAGCAATAAAGGACTTTAGTTTTATCGCTCGTGAATGTGTGGGTTGTTTACATGTTGAGTAGCACCTGGACACCTATTGACAAAACTATTATTCAAGTCTATACTCCATCAACAGATAATGAAGAAGAAGAAATTAAAAACTTTTAAACAAGCATCCATGAGGAAATCGGTAGCATCAAAACAAAACAAGGAGAATGAAAAGTAGGAAACAAAGCCAAATCAAATGTTGTAAGAGAATTTGATCTAGGGGTCAGAGTGTCTCAGAGTTCTGTGAAACCAACCATTTCTTTACCGCATATACATTCTTCAGGCAACTGATCAGAAAACTGCACATGTATTCATCATCAGATGGCCAATACAAAAATAAAACAGACTTTGCAATTGGAAGCAAGAAATGTGGAAGCTATATTCTGGCTGCCAGAGCAGGACCAGGAGCAGATTGTGATAGTGACCATGAACGATTAATATCAAAAGTCATAATAAAGCTGAAAAATCATATTACAAATATACAATGGCTACTGGAGCATACTAAAGAATTTCAGAAGAAGATCAATCTATCTTTTATAGACTATAGCAAAGCCATTGACTATGCAGATCATGTGAAGCATGATGGTCCTGAAGGAAATGGAATGTGCCTCAGCATTTGATTGTCCTGATGCATAACCTGTATTGTAGACAAGAAACTACTGTTTGGGCAGAATATGAAGAAAGAGAATGGTTCCCTTTATAGAAAGGAATCAGACAAGGGTGTATTTTACTTTCCTGTCTCCAGTCAGTATGTAGAACATAATATAACGAAAGCTGAATTGAAATCAGAGGAAGGAGAAGTGAAAATTGGCAGAAAATGTATCAATAATTTAAAATATATAGACTACTGAAGTGCACAGCTTTAATGTCTACAATGAAGAAATTGAAATTATGAAAGATTTTGCATAACTTGGCTCCATCATCAATTCAGACAGACTGCAATTGGGAGATTTGGAAGAGAAGCAGCAAAGAATAAAAAATAGTGAATAGCTTTCTTCACTGAATAGTGAAGAAAGCTGGCAGGAAGAAAATTGATGTGTTTGAAACATGGTGTTTGAGGAGAACTTTGCAAATACCTTGTCCTGATAAAAAGGTGAACAAGTGGCTTCTAGATGAAATCAAGTCAGAACTTGCCTTGGAAGCAAAAATGACAAAACCTCTCATGAGAAGGCAAAACTCCCTGGAGAAGACAACTATGTTAGGGAAAGTTTGAAGGCAGAAGAGAAAAAGGAAGACCAAATATGAGATGAATTGATTGCATAAAGGAAGCCACAACCTTGAGTGTACAAGAACTGAGCAAAGTTATCAAAGACAGGGCATTTTGGAGAGCAGTCATTTATAGGGTTGCCATAAGTCAGAAACAACTAGATGGCATGCAAGAACCACAACATGGTTTTAGTATGTTTGTGTCTGTCAATGTGAAAAAAGTCTGGAGCCCTGTCAACCACCTTCCCATTTTCCTCTTCCATTCTCACTTTTTCCAGCCTACTCCAGGTGTGGTGACTTTTATGTGTATTCACTCTAGCACATATTTCAAAGCTGAGGATAGTCCAGTTTCCAAATAGTTGAATTAGGAAAGAGAAGAAGAGAAGTATAGCACCTCTTCCCACCTGAGGGCCAAATTCCTTTTCTGAGAAGTTCTTGGGGCTGCATTCCATTGCTGGGCAGGGCCCAAGGAAAAGGAGCTGGGCCAGAATACCAGTATAATTTAGTCTGAAGCACTTATAGCTAGTAACTAAGCCTCAGGGATGCATTTCAACTCTTTAGATTTGGAAAACACTGCACAAAGGCCAGAACACTAGCAAATCATCCATGACTCTATGGCTTTCAAAGACTGACTCTTTGGTATATTGGTGGCCTTTGCTGTTTCTTTCATGTCTTTCAGTCAATGAATATATAAAGCATGGGGCATATAAATCAAGTCCAGAATAGCTGCACTGAAGTCTTCAATCTGAATGATAAATTTCACTTTACCTAAAACAAATGGTGGAAAGCAAAGGAATGAAAACTCTTACCCCATTTGGACTGTTTGCCCTG